TAGAAATTTTGTTGGTTCGAATCGAGCTTTACGCAAGGAATTTACTACTTTTATAAACTCCGTTTCTCAAGAAATTGCTCAAAAATACATAACTCATGGGTTTGAGTGGTCTTTCATTCCCCCCCCCCCAGGCTCCCCACATGGGAGGACTTTGGGAAGCGGCGGTCAAAAGCTTTAAATTCCATTGAAAGCGGGTGGCAGGAGCCCATCGGTTCACATTTGAAGAGTTTACCACGGTATTAGCTCGTATTGAAGGTGTATTGAATTCTAGGCCCATATACGCTCTCTCTGAAGACCCAGCTGATCTTACCGCGTTGACCCCAGGACACTTTCTCCGTGGCGGTCCAATTATGGCTTTACCAGATCCAAAATATTAAAGCCAAAGGTGAGCATCAACTTAATAAATAAAATCCCTTTTATTTATTTAAAACTAATTTCCTTGTGTTTTCTCTTTTTCCCCTTGAGAAATTATAAAGTTCTTAAAATCTATTAATCCTGTCCGAGGATTAATATATTCAATATTTATAACACCAATACAGATAATGTCGCATTTTTTCTTTCTAATATTAGCTAAAAGTACTGCTTCTGTTACATCCCTTATCACAGCATCACTCTCTGGCCCATAGTGCAATGTCCGTCTATCCGAATTTCCGATGGGGTCAGAGGTCACAATTATGAATACATTTTGAAAAAAATTAGTCGTCATAATCTACAAAATCAGGAAAATATGGCGTCATGAAATAACTTCCCACGAAATAACTCCCCAAAACAAAAATGAAATAACTCCCTAAAAATTTGTTCAGAAAACAAAAACAGCGAAATTTGGGGATTTATATCGCTTTTTGGGGCATTGTTTCACATTTAAAATGGGGAGTTATTTAATTGTGAAATAATTCCTCAAAATTCAAAAATGAAATAAATCCCTAAAAATATTTTTAGGGAATTATTTCATTATATCACTTTTATTACACGAAATGAAAAACATAGCCGGCTCCCTGTATCAGGAGCATTCGGCCTTAAGTCGGCTATTTAGGAAATCTTTACTAAGCGAAGCCACATATTATAGAGTGGTAAATTCTTGCGTCTGGCCATAGGCCGGCTATCAAGGAAATCTTTATTAAGCGATTAAACTGAAATTTATTAAACTTTGAAGCCCCAATCGAAAGCATGAGCGACTTACTTTTTTTAGAAATGTCAGAAGAACCGACTTCCATAATTTGTTATTTATTATAGGTGTCGCATTTTTAAATGGGAACTTATTTCATTTTAAAATTAGGGATTTTTTTCATATGAAATAAATCCCCAAAAATGGGGTGTTATTTTATTTTAATTTAGGAAGTTATTTCATTTCGTTGGTGTTTTTTTTTTCATTTTTAAATTGGGGAATTATTTCATAATGAAATAAGCATCAGGGTTTAAAGGAACATTCCTCTGCAATGCGTTAAAATCGTTTTAGGTTTGGCCGCAAATATAACACCCCATTGTAGATTTTGTGTCCGTTGCTGCATTGCAGACTTTTCCATCCACCATAGTGAATAGCACCGAGTGCTATATTTTGGTTAACTGCCATTACATGCTACCTCGATTTTCTCCAACAATTGAATTTGTTCTATTTCCTTTTTAGTGACGTCTGCAGTTTCATGCACAAATCGAATACGGATTGGTCAACGTAGCCTAGTTGATGATGGAGTTGGATTTCGCCATATCGTTTTTGTTTTTCCATTTGCATTTGTGATTAATTTTAGCGGCACACAAGAACTTTGGAATATATTGGCGTCACTATCACCTTTGTTTTTAAATTGTTGCTTATATTATGATTGGTGTGATCCATCACAGCCCCATTTACTGTTTAGTTCCATAAAATGAAGTTCATCATAGACCCATAAAAGTATATATATTCTGGGTCCTTATTAAATTCTAAGGCGATCTAGCCATGTCCGTCTATCTGTCTGTTGAAAGCACGATATAGTCCGAACGGAATGAGCTAGAGGGTTGAAATTTTCCACAAATATTCTCTATATATAAGGTTTGTTTGGTATTGAAAATGGGCAATATCAGTCCACGTTTTCGTATAGCCCCCATACAAGTGGACCCCCGAAAAACAGCTTTAACGGGCATATCTGTTTTAAAAGTACGAGTATAGCGATAAAATTCGACATAAAAAGGTTTCATACGATCCAAAATCTCCCTACCAAATTTTGTACGGATCGGTAAATAATTGACCCTACCCCCCATATAAGGTCACCTTCAAAAAATTACTTTAACGCTCATTACTGTCTTAAAAATACGAGTATATCAATGAAATTTGACATAAGTAAATCCCTGACAAGTAAAAATCTCTCCACCAAATTTCATTTGGATCGGTCCATAATTGACCCTACCCCTCATATAAGGTGCCATTCAAAAAATGACTTTAACGCTCATTGCTGGCTTAATAATATGAGTATATGGATGAAATTCGACAAACATAAGTTCCATGCGATCCAAAATCTATCTGTCAAATTTTATGTGGATCGGTCCATAATTGACCCTAGTCCCCATATAAGGTCCCCTTGAAAAAATTACTTTAACGCTCATTACTGTCTTAAAAATACGAGTATATCAATAAAATTCGACACACATAAGTTACATGCGAGCCAAAATCTCTCTACCAAATTTTATGTGGATCGGTCCATAATTGACGCTACCCCCCATATAAGGTCCTTAACGCTCATTGCTTTCTTAAAAATACCAGTAAAGCAATGAAATTTGACATAAGTAAGTCCCTTACGAGCAAAATCCTCTGTAGCAAATTTTATGTGGGGAACTGATATTCGTTGTAAACATGTTTTATATGAAACAAAATCGGTCTAAAAAATTATGAAAAATTTTATAAAAATGGTCAATAATTAACCTACCTCTCATATAAGGTCCTTCTTCTAAAATTCATTCTAATTTGTGAATGAATTATAGGGGTACCATCATATTTTTGTACAATTTTAATAAAAAAAAAGTAAAATGTTCAATAAATCGCCTAAAATATTTGTGGAAATTTGCTCAAAATTTCATAGTTTACAACGGTATATAATTTTTGAACACTTGTTACATTGACTTATAAAAATGTTATATATTTTTTATTGTTAAAAAATTCAATTTTTCAAAAAGGTGAAATTTTCCAGAAATCTCCAAACTTTTCTTCTTGTCCCTAAAAGTAGAGATTCCATACTTTATTGCTGCATATAAACATTTTAGTATACCTCCTACTTTCAGATTAAAAATCGTATATATTTCTTGGTATGAAAAGGAAAATTTTTCGAAAAAGTGAAATTTTAAAAAATCGCCAAAAATAATTGCGAAAATTTTTTTTATTGCGATATATAACAATTTTTGAATTCTTGCTACTTTCGTTCGTTTATTAACAATAATTTTTTTATAAACCTCTTAAAACTGTAAAAATTAACAATTTATACATACGGTATATGAAAAGTGTGGGATGAGCAAAAATTTTAAATAGTGAAAATTTAAAAAAATCGCCAAAAAAATGGCGCAAACTTTTTTTCAGTTTTGGAATGTGGTATATAACATTTTATTGTGGTATATAACATTCAACTACTAAAAACTACTTTCACCTTTAGAATCCTTATCTTTTTCTTTTGGTGTAAAAAACAGTGACATTTTTATTATTTTTAAATTTTGAACGAATTGTTTTAACATTAGTATATAAGATATATTAAAAAAAATCAAAAATAATAGTTGAATATAGCTTTCAAATAAAAAAAAAATCAGTATAAAATCTTTATTCGTTTAGCCACAAAAATATCAATAAACCTGTTAAAATGAGAAAAAAAAACCTAAAAACGCATTTAATTTTCCTTACATTCCTGACTTTGACATCGTCTTAAAACTACAAATCTCAACCTAAAGTTTTAAAAATTCACTTTTTAAAATTTCTTTAAATTAAGGTATAAGCATATGTTAACTGCTTATGAATAACGTAAAAATTATGACAAATTTGTTATTGGTACAATTTATATTAAGATTTGAATATATTAGTGCACTGGAAAAATAATGCACTATAGCTCGAAAACAACTTCAGTTCTCTATAAAAATTATAAGGATATTCACAGTTACCTGGTTATCGTGTTATACAGTTAAAAAATTATATCAGCAAAAACAAATATAAGTAAAAACAAGTAAGAGTGCTATATTCGGCTGTGCCGAATCTTATATACCCTTCACCACAGTGTACTTAAAAAATATCAATTTTATAAAATTTATATCATTATTATAGCAATATATCAAATATATCATTATTATAGCAATAGCAAAACGAACAACAACAAGGCTAAACTAAATAAACACACACAAAACAAAATACACAAGGGAGTAAAATCAAAAAAAAAAATCGAAGTAATGTTCGAAGAAATGTTTATGTTTTTAAAATAATCTCTAACTAAAAGAAATTTTTTTTGGGAAATTTTAAAGCTGTTAAATACAGTTCGCGTACATCGAAATTGCTGAAACTTGATAGTCATAAATCTACTTGGTTACAATACGACATTATGTACGAATATTCGAAATTACATAACTTCGAAAATTCGAAGTAATGTTCGAACAATTTTTTATGCTTTAAAAATAATCTCTGGGTCATAAAAACAAAGAAAACTTTTTTTATTTTCGATGTTAAAAAATAATTCATATAAACGGATGTTCACGGTACTCAGAGTTTATTTTTAATTTTATAACCTGATACTACAAATGCCTACGACGCCAATTAAGCAAGTTATTCGACAAAAACTAATTTTTGTAACCTTTGACCTCCAATATCTAGCAAAGCGCACAAGATATTTTCAGGGACTTTTAACTCCTTGCTAAATATGATAAAGGGGAGCTATGTGCCAATTTTTATTTAGATATCTGAAATTCCCCAGACTGCTCATTATTTTGCCTAATTTTCCTGTGGTAAATGGTGGAAATAAGATAACATAGTTTCAGTATTAACAATTTGATTTAATACTAATTTAGTAGAAATTTACCTGAATTTCAAAACTGTTCAAATTTTCCATTATATCATTTATTAAATCATTTGTATCGACAATTCGCTTTCGAATAAATTCATCATTTGCTCCTAAGGCGGCCAAGCATTTTAAAGCTGCTAGCTTCGTCTCAGCATTATTTATTTTAATAAGTTGAAATAATGATCTTAATAAGTGGTTACAAATTGCAGCCGTCTTCTGTAGGTCTGCATCGATCTATGACATTAAATAGTCAGCATAAATATAAATTTTCATGATAGCAAATGATTATTACCTCGATCAAATATGATAAAGTTTCTGCTGCAGCACTCCTTATAGGACAGCTAAAATTCTCTGAACACAAACGAACTAAACAGGGAAGAGTTCTATGTAATATCCTAAAATCCGATGAAAGCAGAGTTCCGGATCTGTATATATACGTAATACATTTTGCAGAACATAGTTGTATTTGCGCAGAAAACGATCGTGAAATATATGAATTAAGTGTGTCCAACAATGTCCGTCCTTGAAAACTGAAAATATAAAAATATTGTTAATTAAAAAATAAATTGTTTCTCAAAAATCTTCGCAATGCATAGTACTACAATTTAGAACGATAAATGTCAAATTAATAATGTTTTCGATTTCCGCGATTTTTTTATATATGACCTAAAACTTCCAGTAGCATATCAACATCGGAAGAAATTCGATAAAGTGCGTGCTCATAGAGAAATGTGACTCTAAAGTTCCACTTTAATTTTTTTAGATACTTATTTAGGCCAAATAATATGATGTACACAACTAGTAAGAGTGTTATATTCAGCTGTGCCGAATCTCATATACCGTATGCTATAAAAGGGATGCTCCCCTAACATCATGATCACTCATCAAATTAACTGATCGTTTTTCATCGAATAGCTGTAATCGCATTTTGCCGAACTTTCCGCATGAAATTCGGTATGAAGATTTAAGTTTCTATAAACGTTTCTTATATCAAATTTCATAAATGTGCAAGTATTTTTAAGCCAGAAATGATCGTTAAAGTAATTTTCTGAAGGGGACATTATATGGGGGGTAGGCACAATTGTCATAAGGTCAAATTTGGTAGAGAGATCTTAACTCGTATAAAACTTATGTGTATCAAGTTTCATCGCTTTACTCGTATTTTTAAACCAATAATAAACTTTAATGTCATTTTCCGAAGGGGAGCTTATATGGGGATCAATCATACGCCGATTCCCATAAAAGTCAGTAGAGGCTTTTGGCTCATAAGAAACCTACTTATGTCGAATTTCATCTCAATACTCGTACTTCTAAGCCAGTAATGAGCGTTGTAGTAATTTTCTGAAGGGACCTTTATGGGAGGAAGGGTCAATTATGAACCGATCCACATAAAATTCGGTGGAGAGATTTTGGTTTATAAGAGATTTGCTTATGTCAAATTTCATCGCTGTACTCGTATTGAGCTTTAAACTAATTTTCTGAAGGGGACCTTATATGGGGGTAGGGTAGGGTTGCCAGCCTGGCTGGACTTGGCTGGATTGTCCAGCTTTTTTGATGCTTGTCAGTTTCAAGCTAAAATTTAATTTGTCCAGCTAAATAGAATTTTTTTTAGTACACTGCATGTTAGCCAACACTGATTGTACATTTGTTATACAAATAAGTTATGATTTCCCTCTTCTATCATCATGTCTCAACACTTGAACAGCTGATGTCGCAATAAATATTAGGTCTGTTCGCGTACTCGATAATTTGTAACAATTTGCAACAATTGTTATTGGATTCCTTTCGCGTACTTTTGAAAACTTGCAACGAGAGAGTAAGAGAGCGATAAAAATTACAGTTCGTTGTTAGAGAATTTTTGATTTTACTAGATATTTTTTCCCCAGCAAAAAATATCCAACTTATATTCACAACATATGTTTGATTTATGAATATGTAAACAAACCAAAGAAATCGAAAATTTGGTAAATTTTATTTTTTTTTAAAGAAATATACAAACACGAATATTAAAAAAATTATTTGTAATTAGATTTATTTTAATTTTATTTATCATAAATTAGTTTTTAAAAGAGTTTATTTGTTGTGAAAAATCATAACAAATATTGTAAATCTAGCGTTTTTAAAACAATTTAGTTAGTCTTTCTCTTAGCGATTTTGTGTAAATTTTTATTTTAATAATATGTTTGTATCATAAAGTTTTAAAACAATAATATATTTTTAATGATACTGCATGTTTTGTTAACTTTAAATATCTATTTATTTATAGGAAAAATCAAAGTTTCAATTATTTGTTTTTTAGTGTTTTGTTAGCGATTTATAAACAAAAACTTGCACATTTTTTTTTTAAATTGGCTTTCGAGTACTTTTTTGGATATTTTTTTGATTGAGAGTAAATCAAAAATTACTCTCTATCATAAAGTTACTGGATATTTCTTACAGGAAAGTACGCGAAAAGACATATTTTTATACCCACCATTAAAAAAGATGGGGGGTATATTGATTTTGTCATTCCGTTTGTAACACATCGAAATATTGGTCATAGACCCACAAAAGTATATATATTCTGGGTCCTCATTAAATTCTAAGACGATCTAGCCATGTCTGTCCGTCCGTCTGTCTGTCTGTTGAAAGCACGATAGAGTCCGAATGGAAAGAGCTAGAGGGTTGAAATTTCACATAAATATTTTTTATAGGTAAGGTTTGTTTGGTATTGAAAATGGGCCGATATTCCACATTTTCGGATAGCCCCCATACAAGTGGCCCCTCGAAACGCAGCTTTAACAGCCATATGTTGTTTAAAAACACAAATATAGCGATGAAATTCGACATAAGTAAGTTCCTTATGATCCAAAATCACTATTCAAAATTTTATGAGGATCGGTCTATAATTGACCCTACCCCCCATATAAGGTCCCCTTCAGAAAATGACTTTAACGCTCATTACTGGCTTAAAAATACTAGTATATAGATGAAATTCAACATAAGTAAGTTTCATACGAGTCAAAATCTATCTAAAAAAATTTATGAGGATCGGTCAATGATTGACCCTACCCCTACGCTTATAACTGGCCTAAATATACGAGTATATAGATGAAATTCGACATAAGTAAGTTTCATTCGAGTCAAACGAGGTGTGATGGTGGGTATATAAGATTCGGCATAGCCGAATATAACACTCTTACTTGTTAAAATTTAAAACTTCAAAAATGGAGCTATTTCACATCTTTTGCTCTTAAACGCTAAGTTAACGAAGTGATCGGGGAAAACTAAAAATATATTCGTACTATATGGACTATGACAAAACGGAATTGGTATATGAGAACCTCTACATTTTTTTGGTGTATCACTGTGAAATTATTTACACAAAACCAAAATTAACATTTTCTCAGTATTTTTTTATGTCCAGCTTTTTTTGTTTTGTCCAGCTTTTTAAAACCCGATGTCCAGCTTTCTGCGAATCGGAATCTGGCAACCCTAGGGTAGGGTCAATTATGGACCGATCCACATTGAATTTGGTAGAGAGATTTTTGATAGTAAAACACTTACTTATGCCAAATTTCATCGCTATACTTGTATTTTGAATCCAGTAATGAGTGTTAAAGTAGTTTTCTGAAGGGAAATGGGGGGCAGGGTCAATTATGGACCGATCCACTAAAAATTCGGTGGAGCGATTTTGGTTCATAAGAGATTTGCTGATGTCAAATTTCATCGCTGTACACGTATTTTTAAGCCTGTAATGAGCGTTAAAGTAATTTTCTGAAACAATTATGGACCGATCCACATAAAATTTTGTGGAAAGGTTTTGGCTCCTAAGATGCTTATGTAAAATTTCATCGCTATAGTCATATTTTTAAGCGAGTAATGAGCGTTAAAGTCATTTTCTGAAGGGGACCTTATATGGGGGGTAGTGTCAATTATGGACCGATCCTCATAAAATTTGGCAGGGAGTTTTTGGCTCATATAGAACTTATTTATGTTGAATTTCATCGCTATATTTACACTTTTAAAACATATATGCCCGTTAAGGCAGTTTTTCGGGGGGCCACTTGTATGGGGGCTATCCGAAAACGTGGACCAATATAGCCCATTTTCAATACCAAACAAACCTTACCTATAGAGAATATTTCTGAAAATTTTCAACACTCTAGCTCATTCCGTTCGGACTTTATCGTGGCAGACAGACGGACGGACGGACATGGCTAGATCGTCTTAGAATTTAATAAGGATCTAGAATATATATACTTTTGTGAGTCGATGACGAATATTTCGATGTGTTACAAACGGACAAAATCAATATACTACTTTTTTGATGGCGGGTATAAAAATAGATAACTTCTATTCCCAACAGTGTTGCCAATTTAGATATTTCATGGCTAATTTTAGCACATTTAAATCTCGTTTAGCCATTTAAAAATTAATTTTGCCATTAGTAATTTTTAGCCATTTGAAAATTAAGCCCAATACCAATACAGACCCCAAAAGTGGCATAAAATGTTTGGAAGAAAACAATTTTAATAACTTTCGTTGAGAAATAAGCTCGATAGGGATCAGACTTATATTCTGAAAAAATATGTTTAACTAGAAAAACTCTAAAAACTAAAGATCACCAAAAGCTTCGATTAAACCGAACTTGAGAAAATAATCTCGATTTGTGACATCTTATATTTCTTACCAAAAATATTGATCTGTGGTAGTGAAGAAGATTTAGGGTGTTTAGTGTGTTAGTCTCAGAGCCTCTTCTGCGTTTGAAAGATATGCAGAAATTATTAATAACTGAATTACATGTATTTCAAAGGAATCAGAGTAACCATAATGGAAACGAAAGATTTTTTGTATACCATATAAAAATGATCAACATATATTTATCCGATCTGAATTGAGACTTGAGCTCGCATGATAAAATAAAAAACTGACAAAACTTAATTATGTCTAATTAAGTTTTGTCAATTACAATTACTAGTAATTTTAATTAAATTTTTGTTAATTATAATTATGTACTTGTAATTGTAGTTGAATTTTACCAATTATAATTACTTGTAATTGTAATTGAATTTTATCATTTACAATTACTTACTCTCAATGACATTTTTTGAGTTAAGAAATGTTATTTTTGGGATTTTGTGTTTAAGTTTCCCTTATTTAAGTTAATATTATTTAAGTTAAATTAACGCAACAATTTCACTCCAAATAACTTAGTCTATGTCAGGTGCATGTATGTGACAGAAATTATGTTATTGTAATTTTTTTATGTGAAGTTTGAAGAGGATTCGGACAGCAGTCGGATTAACCACTTTCAATTGTATTGTTGCTTTGTTGTTGCTTTGGTTGACAGCCCTTGGCCGAATAATTCGGGTCATTCCGGTACGTAGAACAGACTGTCGGGGAATGATTGGGGAATGCAATTATCACCAGCGAAGTCGTCAACAACACTTTTTACCACCTGGACGAAGGAAGTAAACTTAAACCTGGCATCGTGGTCGATGGAGTCCAAATTCCGACCGTGCACCACCCAAAAATATTGGGGGTCACA